AAAATGATTAACAAATTTAATTTACATAAGCTTATATTTATGGAAATAAAAATTGCATATTTATAGGCTGAAGTGAACAATAATCTTCTTACTAAGATAATTATATCAAAAACAATGGAAGTGATGAAGGAGCTTATTACGTTATATGCTATGTGAAATATTGGATTAACAATTTCTCTTCTAGGAATCTCAGTATTTTTATTAAGAAATATGAAATTTTGTTGAAAAGAGTTGCCACAATTTTTCAAAATTAACTTATCGTTGGCTTAATTTTAATAATCTTTTTTCAATATTATTATACACGAATCATAAAAATTTTTGCAATTTGTTTCGTCAATTTGAGTTTTAAAATTTTATTCACAAATATTTTATTGACCAATAATCTTTAAACCCTCATCACACGCAGAATTTACCATTTTATTTACTTATTTTTGTTTATTTTTGTACTCTAAATTATATTTGAAATAAATTTTTTATTTTGCTAGATTTATTACTACAACAAATGTCGAAGTTGAGACAAAAATTTTTTTTTAATTTTTTGTTAAATGAATTTTCTTTTAATAATTAATTTTGTAGTAATTATTGTTCATATTAATTTTTAAGTCTTGCAAAGTGAAATTTTTATAAGGGTAAAATTTTTGTCCAACAAAGAGTTAAAAGGAATTGTAATTTGAAATTTACTATGAATACTACCGGTTTGAGTCTTTTCTAAATACTTCATGTTATTTTAGCGTTGACAACGTTTTGTTCTTGAATTTACTATAATTGTTTACTTCTAATAATAAATTGTTTACTTACAATATCTTTGCTTTTTTTATAAACTGTTGTAAAACCGGAAAACTTTATGATTAACTGGTAAAGTAAACACATTTTAAATATAGCCACTCAGATCAAATAGAAATTAAAAATTTGGGAAAAATTTTGTTTTATGTTCTTGCAGTGGAATTTTGTATGAATTATGTAATAAGTATGAAATAATATTTGAAACCATGGAAATTTCAAATGAATAGAATTTCGATAATATATGCATGCATATATCTGCAACGATTAATGCAATAGTTTTTATATTGCTCTAGTGAATAATTTACTTAATTTGTATTTAGAAGACAAAATGATTTGGATACGTCTTTCCTGTAGATTGCACGTTCTTTACATATGGTTTGTAAGCTAAGACTCCTTAAAATTAGCTTAACTTTAATTTTGGAGATTTGCGATCAAGTTTTAAATCACAAATTCAGCATTCATCACATTAATGTGATAACAACTGACATATTATGTACTTGTTTAATTCTTCAATGTCAAATGGTGACTCCCTAAATATTAAAAGAGAAATTTCCGAATACTTTTTTAGGAGCTGTTTGATTAATCTCTTCAATATAAAAATCGTTCAGTAACAAATCATTCAAACTGATTGGGTATTTTAAAGGCCTTAAAGACTTTACAATCCCTGTTAATATTCCTTGAGCAGAGGTGAAAAATTTTGTTGAAACAAATATGCAATTTATCAAATTGCCCATCATTTTGTTAGTGTTTTTCCACCTGAAAGAAGTAAAAAAAAAAATAAAACTTCACCACAAATTTTATTGTTACAATTAAATTTCAAAATTAAAAATCCGCTGACTTGCATTACTCTTCCCATTTTTTACGTGTCTTATTTTTTTGTAATTCCTCTGTTTTTTTTATCAGTTTTTATCTTTATAGTAAAACAGGTAAAACAGACAATGTAATGAATCAGATACTTTGGTATTTACCTTTTTCACCTCTCCACCACAATAATAATCAAGAAAAAAAAAGAAAAATAAAAAAATCTTAAAATTCTTTTGCATTGAGTATTGAGTAAATTAAAATCAAACAAAAACTCATAGATGGTTTTCTTTTGAGAAATAAAAATTAAACTTAGTTTAAAAGAGAATGCGCACTCGTGAAGTCATCAGTCGAGAGATTCAGTGTTTTATAAAATATTGATCGCGCTTTGTCGCGGTTCTCGTGTGTAAATTTTGTTTTTATTTTTCTTTTTATTTATTTATTTATTTTAGTATTTTTCGTTATTATTAGTTTTTTTTTATGTTGTGTGTGCTCATCCAACTTTAAAAAAGAAATAAAAATAAGAAGAAAATTATTCAAGAAATTAAAGAAAAAAAAATGTGAAATAATTTAAAAACAAAATATATAATTATACTTATGCATATGTTCACAAAAGTATAAATGTATGTACATCCATAAATATAAAGTAAATTATACTTTAAGTAGATATGTAAGCATATTATATGTATAAATGTTAAAATCATTATTATGTTCAAATATTATACCCATTATAGTTAAAGAAAAAATATTTAGTATTGTATTAGCTTACGTTACGGTAAAGTTTCGAAATTAAACAAACAATATTATAATCGAAATATAAAAATTATCGACATCTTCATGAAATCATTATTTAATTTCGAAAAATGTTTGTAAAGTTATGCAGTATTTACTTCGAAACATTATCAGCTGAATGTTAATAATCCAGACTCCAGAATTTTAGGAAAAATAAATATTGTGTACTTCTAAGTGATTTTTATTGTATAGGCTGCCGTCTAGGAAATTTATTTAGAGGTGCATTCTATCAATTATTGCAAGAACAGTTTGATGAATAGCGCATCAGATAGTTGAAAATGTTAGGAAAAATAATGTTCTTCAATTAAAAATAAATTTTTGGCAGTGCAATTTTATAAAACGAAATTCTATGAAATTTTTCAAAATTACTTTTTTGCCATCTGTAAATGAAATATGAAATGAAATGGTACTTAAGTTCCATTACAAATATTTTATTTTTATAATTTCTTCGTCACGCATTTTACGGTCTGGAGTGTTATTCTCTATAAGGCACTACAAATCGATTTGTCCCGCATTCATATATCATTTCCAAGTCATCAATGAGAAGCCTCTGATTCATAAACCTTAGTAGCTAGTATGTTCAAAAACTCAAAACAAAAACCGATGTTAAAGTCTACTTTAAACATAATTATTCTACTATTTTTAGTTCTCGCATATTAAGTGTTTTTATTAATGCATAAATCTGTTGTCTGTTAAACCAAAAAAACAAGCTGCTTTTCAAAAATGGATTGAGATGCTTCTCAAAAGAAAAAAAAATGTTTAAACATTATAAAAGTGTTATTTTTTTTCGGAAACTGAACAATAAAAACAATTAAAATAAAAAGGTGCCATCTCTTTTTAACAGTACATTAGTTCGTTTCTTTCTGCAAAGAACCAGGTCCATTATAGTCTTTTTTACTAGAACACTTAGAATCTTTTATGATTTTTATCTCCATTTACATGACCGCTTCCATAGCCTAGACAAATTAATGCACAGTCAGGTAAACGCAGTCACAATTTCAAGAGAAACATACGGCTTTCCCATAACGATATTAAACAAAGAAGTAAAGTGTCTAATGTACGAAATATGTAGGCTCAATGCAACACATTTAAACTTCCAGTATCTAAATTATTATAAGTACGTATGTATTTATAGTCCTATCTTTTAACAAAGGCTATTGCCAAACATTTATTAATTTAAGGAATCAAAATAAAAGTTCAATTTGTCCACCCAAACCTCATACGGAAATTGTTAATTAAAATTTCGAAACTTTGCAGTAACACGCACACAAACACAATCAGTACGCGTTTATTATTATTATGGAAAACTTATTATTTTTTTTTAGTCTTTCTTATTTTCTTATTCACCTCTTTTTTTATAATTTTCTGTTTTGTTTCTTTAAGTTTGGATGAGTGAGATCAAAAACTATTCATGAGTATGATTACAACAATAGTGTTTTGAGACAAAAACTGAAAACAAAATTAAAAACAATTTTTCACTAAAAGAATTTGTTGTTCACAAAAAAAAATAACAAAAAAAAAATGAGAAAAAAAACCTAACCTAGAAATTTTTGTAAAGTGAAATTTTAGCTTTTATTTTTTTTTCTGTGTGATTTTTTCAACTTGTTTTTTAATTTTAAATCAATTTTTTTTAGTATGTAGTTTAAAGTAGTAGTAAAAATACTACACTAGAATAATTTAATTATAACCAATTTTATTTTATTATATTTTTCATAATATTTTTATATATTAATAAAATATGAACGTAATTCAATTAAAATATTTAATTTTTGAAAACATTTTGTGTACATTATATATTCAGTTTTATAAACAAGAGTGAAATTAATAATAATTAAGTAGAATTTAATAAATAAAAAAAAAATTATAATTTTTTTTTTAATAATTAAAATAATGTTTAAAAAATTCAAAACCAAGTAGTGCAAATAAGCAGCAACATAACGCCCAAAAATTTAATTAAATTTTATACTTATTAAAACTAATTATTAATAATTATATAATATTGTGTATGTTTTTGCAATTATATTCATTATGTATGTATGTAAACGCATTTATGCATAAATTAAATCTAATATAATGTAGAAAGACTTCCGGATTTTTATAATTATTACACGTTTAAAATATTTTGTAATAATGTATTTAATATTCCTCCAATATAATAGTATTTACAACACATAATAATATGTAATTTTAATTATTATTATTATTATTATTTATTAAATAATATAATTAAATTTAAAAATTATTTTAATAATTATATTTGAAGTGCGTATAATTGGATTAAATTTCTTATTTTTATACAAAATGTACGATATACAAAATAAACCATCTGGTTATACTAGTTATAGTAAATAATTAATACATACTAAGTATACAACATATAAATACATTATTATTCATTTCATTTCTCATATTTTAATAATAAGTATTGATTACAATTAAGTATACATAATATGTACGCAAATATAAAATAAAAAACAAGTATATATATTGAAATTATATTGAAAAATAAAAACGGTGAAATATTTTTCACCTGCTGTTCATTACACGCGTGTATGTGTATATACTATATGCGTAAATATCTACTCAACTAAAGAATTTTTATGATCAATATGAATTTATTAGATATATTATAATATATATCAGTTTGCAAGGAAACCAACAACCAAAACATAGTTAACAACAAATTATATCGAATACTTGTGGAGTATATATTAAGGTAAATATCATATACTTAATTATTAACGGGAAGATATTAATGAAAAAAGAATATTATTTTAAAGATTTGTTTACTTAAATCATTCATTTAGAAATTTAAATCAAGTTATTTTAATATTTTGTATATACCTGTTTATATACATATGAATATATCGTGATGTAGATCGAATTAAAATATATAAGGAATATTTGCAAGAACTTTTAAAAAATTCCTTAGGTAATTTCGTGTAAAATGGTTATTAAATTCATTTTCAGTATCTTTGTTGAAAAGAAATGTAAGTAAAATTGATTTATTACAGTAGTTAATCCGACCTAAACTATAGTTCGTAACTGCAAAAGTCGATATATAATTTAAAAAAATACTTCCAAATTAGATATATATATATATATGTAGTGTAATGTTAGAATAATTAATACAAAATTTGATAATTAATATTGCTGAAAACAATAAACTTGTCCTTGTTACAGTGACAACTGAATAAGGTGCTATATCTTTGTCGTCTTATTACTGTTATTTCAATAATTTTATTTTTAATAATAGCAATGAAATTTCAACAAAATTGAAGAATTCTTTTACAAATTACCTATAATAATATTATATTACCTGGTTAAAATTCATGCCTTCCATAATATTATCCTTAGCCTAAGCACATTATAGGCAATTTTTAATCCTTAAATATTAAGCAATAATTTCAGGTAGTTTATTTTTCAACTTTTCAGCAGGTTATTTATTACCTACATATTTTAAGTATTTTGGTAAACAATTTGGTTAACTAAAACCATAGAATAATTATTTATTCATTTTGATTTAAAGCCAATCTAATTTTATCGTATTTAATTTCAATAAGAGCAAAATTTACACGCTTAGCCCGTTTGACCAGTATTAGGAGTATAAGGCCATCCATGTGCGCTTTAGGTTTGGTTAAAGTCCCCCACTATTGATGGGTCTGACGGCAGTTTGGGTTCGCTTATTTTTGTCTTTCAATGATTTTTAACACCTGTATTAAAAAAAAATTTTATTGTAATAACCCAATGCTTCAATATTTTATTAAACTCTTACATTATTATGCCATACTGTACATTATTATAAAAAAAAATTTATTGTCATTATTTATTGTCTTTTTTATAACAATAAACGGTATTATATTGCCGTATTCATTGTTAATTTGTAGTACAAAAAGCAAAAACAAATGAATTTGAAGAAAAAAGCCTCTAACGTATATGGCCGTAACCTGTTTACTTGTATTTTGGACTGAAATTTTTTTTATGAAAATCACTAAAAACTGTTCATGGATTTCTGATTGAACATTTTTTACAGTATTTTTTTTTCAAGCAAAATTATTTGACACACTTTGTACGTGATTGTATGTCTTGTAAAGTATATGTACCTACTTTTAAATATTAAAATATTATGCTTAAAAATATTTCAAAACTGGTTTTCAAATTAAAATTTCATTTTAATTGCCCATTAATTAGGAATACTGTTATATTATAGTTTTAAAACTTGTCTAGCCGGCACGGGTAAAAATGTTTTTTTTTAGTGAAAAAATTATGCTCAAATGTTTTTAATTTATTATTTACGCAAACCATACAACTAAGACTTCTAAGAATTAATTGAATTAAAAGAGCATTTTAAAAAAAGGCATAACAACCGCTTTATTTAAAATTTTAGAAATATTGAATATAGAGGTAGAGTCACAAAGTAGTGAACCCAAATGATTTACAATCATTTGTGGGTGTTTTCCGCAATTATTATTGCTTACCAAGAAAGGCATATTCTACGGCGGACTATTAAAAGAGTATTTAAGAAAAATAGTACTTAAAGTGGATGAGTCAGGCTTAAACTAGTCCTAAAACAAATCAAAATTTTTTAATGCACAATATAATTTTCTATACTATTATTTATGGGTATAGGTAAAAATCATCTTGAATAAATTTATTATATCTGCAAATGTATACTCTACATTAAATTCTGTATTAGAATACAAAATTGTTGTTCATGCAATGGACACCAAATTTATAAAAAATTTCATTTAGCTATTGTATATCTTGTATAGAATATAATGTCACCAGAAAGTTAAGCATATTGTGTATACAATGTCTATAACCTCATTTTTAAATAAAAAGTTCACATATTAGCTGAATTGCGGATGCTAATTAATGATATTAAGATCAGTATACTAATTGGCCCTATCTACATTCATATATACAATATGTATACAGACATAGTTGAATCACAAACATTTCGGTCTACTTTTAAATGTAAGTAAAATATTTTTGTTTTATCATTCGATAGCGTACGAATTTTTTTTTTTTTAATTTTTGCAATGAAAGCATTATGTTGATTGAAAGATTTGCTACAAGACAAAATTTTTAATATCAAATTGTTAATTGCATTACTCTAATAATTGTGATTATATGAGTACATGTTTGCATACATAATAAATTATAAGCTTGATGAATTTCCTAAAAGTGGTCGAATTTCCATTATTTGCAAATAAATCGAATTACTTATCGCCTTTACTGTTATAAGCAATTTTTCAAGACTTGATAAACAGTATTCAATTACATTTAATGAATTTTATTAAAAATCAAATTTTAACATTAAAATTTTAGTTAGAGAGTTATTGTATCCTAGTTACCCTTTTAATAGCTTCAATGCCCCTATATATTTTTTTTTAAATTAAATAATCACACATATGACCTATAATTAAGCTACACTATTAAATATTTTTATTGTTGTTACTGTCTTTAACCATTGCAATTTTTCAACCATCAAAGGAATTCAATTCCTTAAACAAAATTAATACTATAGCACTGCAAATAATTGTGTTTTCTACGGGTGTGAGACTCTTTTAACAATAAGTTTTTTTGCATTGGATTTTCTTTGCATGATTTGCTATGCATTGTTTCCCATATACCAAAATAAAATAATAGAAAAAAAGAAATTTAGGTATATATATATAATTTATAATTATCTACATAATTTGAATTCATATTTAATTGAAAATAAAGAAGATGATCCAAAAAATTAAATTAAAATATTTAATTGAATTTTACAATTTAACGTTTACCCATATTTATAATTTAATGAGTGTACGTGCTCTTTACAACATGTAATTAATTTATTAAACCAGATCATACCTAATTTCAAATTGAAAAAAAAAAATAATAATTTGATAGAATTAAAAGTTGTAAATAATTATAAATTTTAAATACATTTCATGAAAATTTTAAAATTAAAATTATCTCATCACATAACAGTAATGAGAATAACAAAAAAAAAATTAACTATTTAAATAAAATCTGAAATTACAAGAAAAAAGTAACAATCATAATTAATTATGATCACATACCAAATGGTTTTATGCAGCTCAACAATTACTCAAACTTTATGGACAAACAAATTTAAGTGATTAAAATTGTTTCATTAATAAAATTTTCAAATTTTTAAAGTCACTCTCATATTTTTAGTTATGTATGAAATTTCTATGTAAATACCGGAATACACATGAGAATACACACGTATATGGTCTTATAAAATTTATTCATTATAGATAAATTTTGCTACTAATTACAACACATATTATTATATTGGTAACTATATAGGTATATACACAAAAATAAAAAATATGAAAATATTATTTAAATTCAATTTTCCAATTTAAAATATTTTAATGCTGTCACTTAAATTTTTCGGATTAATTTCACGTATGCTAAATAAGCAAAAAAAAAAAACATTTTTGTTTTTTAATGCTTTGCTTGTAACTAATTTGGGAATGCAAAATTTCTCTATATACACCATATATATTATTTAATTAAATGTATACTCATAATTTAAATGCTATAATATGCATAAATGCCCAACCAAATAAAAATAATATCGTTTTAGAATTGGAAAGTAAATAATTACCATAGTTATTTTTACTTCCTACAATATTATTTTAGTTTTACAATTTTATTTAGTTGGCATTAATAATGTTATATGAACGGTGGTTATTCACAAATTTCCTAATTTGAGCAAATACTCATGGTATGTATATTCCAATTATTTGAATTCTTAAGCAAACTTTTTATTCAAAATCTAAACTTTAAATATTAAAATAATGAGTGTTTAGAGTATTTCGAATCATTTAAATAATGAGATTCGAGATTTTCGTATATTTTCGTATTGCAAATTCATTACAAGTAGTGATTTCATTATACAACACTCTTAATATTCGAAAATAGAATATTGTAAAAGTAAAAATTTTTATTAACCTTAAGTTAAAAGATCATCAATTATGTGCATTAATAATATTCTTGCTTCAATCTTACTCCACCCAACGTACTAAAATCTGAACCATTACATATAACATAGACTTACATATTATATAAAATAAAGACACAGCATATTATGAGACCCTCTCGTTAAAGTAAAAATAATTTCTTTTAAATTGAAATCTTCATAGTTCACAAATCACAATTACGAAACCATTACATAAAATATGAAAAATTAATTATAATTATGCCTGATGTAAGATCAGTTAACAGTCTCTTAACAGTCAGTTCTCTTAACAGTCATAGTAACATTCAAAATTGATTTCACATCATATAAGCACAATAATACCAATACAAAATTTATTAATTCATAAGGAAACTTTCCATAACATTTTGTCTTACAATCATTCAAATATCATCAAAATCTTCAATATTAAATTTAGACTTAAGTATACAAATTCATCTTGAAAAAAAAGAAACAAAATGCGCACTTGTCACAAAAAAGGTTACGTTTTTTTTCTCTACTTTATTCATTTTTTCCAATTATTATATTTATTTTTCAACATATTGTTACGAATTAAAAGTATTGTTGATTTAAAATGGAAAAAAAGAAAAAATAAATTTAAAAATCGTGGGTAGTAAATGTCTTTAAGAGCAATTAAAATTTATTTATATATGGTATGTATATCATCACAATAGCGTGCTGCACTGTCAGCAGCAAACCATACTATCATCAATAAAATAAAAACAAAAATACTAAATTGGAGTGGATGCTGACTGGATATACTATGTTGCCAAAAAAGTACTTGTATTTAAGTACATTGTATGTTATAACGATAAGATCATCTCTACTGTTGCTAATAGCAATAATTAAAATGAATTGTGCTCTATTTAAATAAATTTATCTCTCTCTCGCTCTCTGATTATTTTTCTCTCTTTTATTGAGAACATCCAAATTCTCATTAAAATTTTAAAAATTTTCTCTTTCACATTTTTCTCAAACATAAGAAAATATTCGCTGAAAAATAAACGAAACACGTTACTTAGTATGCAAAAGTAAAATTCTCATTTATAAAATTTCGATATGAGTGTATGAACGAACTATCTTCACAATATTCACGAATCAGATTCAAGTATTTCAAAAATTGAAAGAAAAGAAAATTAACATTAAAAGATCAAAAAGAGAACCAAAATCAATTCAACTGTAACAAAAAAAAATAACATAAAATTTTTCCTTACAAAAAATGCATTTTTATCTTATTCCACACATATTGCTGAATATCTTCGTATATTTTCCAAAAACAAAAAATAAACACCTATTGAGAGAGTTTTTATAATAATAATAGTTCAATGAACTAAACAGACCTTCATAACTAAACCGTGGTTATATAGTTTGTGAAAAAAGAAAACAACACAAAAATGTACAGGGTCTTATGTAATTCAGTTTGATTCGTATATTTTGATAAAGTTTAAAAGCTAATAAACTAATGAAAAATTATTGTTTGTAACATTTGCTAATTTTGTAAATTGGCGGATTTCTAAACTTTTAAATAACATTTTGATGACTAAGTGTTACAGATAATCCATTGTTGTACGTCGCGTACAATACTGTAGGTCAACATTAACAAGAAATTTCACATATTTCAAAATAAAAAAAATTTTAGACTGAGATTTGATTTTTCGAAATCAAGTTGTTTCGGCAGCTAACTCTAGCAAATCCAACTTAATTATTTAATGAAAACATTTATATTTTGATTTTTAAATGTTTTCACTTTGGCTATTAGTTAATCATAAAGTTTCAATAAATATTCAAGCTACTGTTCTGTATAACTGTCATTGATGTTGAGTGTAAAAATATAAAGTCACCAAACCTACTTACCTCTATTTTTCCTTATTTAGAATAATGTAATACGAGTTTTCCTTTTAAAAGTAAAATGTCATTTCCAATATTAGCAAACATTTTCGTGCGATATCAATATACGATGATAGGTGCGCCGGAACTTCTTGAAAGCTTCATTTGAAGAATTTTATAACTAAAAATATTAAAATAATAAAAGTTATTAAACGTTTTCAATTAAATTAAAAGACGAAATATGGTCTTTTAATCAATGGTGATTAAAAGACGAAATGTTAAAACGGTTATTGCATATCTTGCGGACCTATATACTATTTGCTGTCCGACATAATCCTGTAAAAATTAATTTTTGAATTTTCTCTTCAAAACCAACATTTTTAAACAACATCTGTAATTTTTATTGTATATACATAATTAAATAGATTCAGTATAACAATTTGATTTTTAAGAATTTTAATATTTCTTTAAGAGTGCGATTATTCATAGATCACCCTGTTATACGAGTATTAGCGTCTTACAGTAGTACATTTTTTGACATTTGATTCAAAGAAATTCATCGTGTTTTTTAAGAAAAAGAAAAAAAATACTTTATGTTTGAATTCATTTTTTACACAACTTGAAAGAAAAAGTTTATTTTTTTTTCATACTCAGATATTTTTCAGGGCTCACTCACCACATAAAAATAATGAGAATAAAATATCTAAAAAGACCATGTTTCCGGATATAATGACATGTTTACATTTATCAAAATCTCGTTTGCTTCGTTTTCGTAAAGTAAAAAATGAAAATTTTATTGTTGTTGTTTTTCTAGTTTATAGAAGAATTGTAAAATCTTGTTTATATTTAGCGTGCCGGTACATTGTAATTTTTTATAAACAAATTTATTTAAAAGAAAAAAAAATAATTCGTAAATTTGTTTTTATTAGTCCTATTGGCGCTGTATTTGGAAATTTCAACCATAAAAACATTAAGTTAGAAAAATTGTTGGTCGGTTATTTTATAGAATTTCTGTTGGCACCTATTAAGATAAGTTAGAATCATTTATTGAGTTTAGTGTAAGAAAATACCGCCAGAATTAAAAAATCTGTTAAAACCATATTAAAGGTATTTCTTCTAAAATTTTGTAAATTCCAGAAAACGTGTTTAATTATATACGTTAGCTAATTTGATTACAATGACGAGAACAATGAGTCTAAATTAATTTTTCAACCTTTACTAATTATCATAATTAAACCTCCTCTCTTGGATAGGTTTGACATGGCCTATGCCGAAATTTGAAGCCAAAATCCCGAGTCTTATTCTTTCTCAGATAGAGCAAACACGTCGTACCTTGTCCTACCCTTATACACATGACATAGCATAAAGCTGTTTTAATTTGAGCCAAAAATTTTTTTAGAATTCTCTAAATTTGCTCATGACTTAAAAGCTAATTATTTCAGCCGGTATGAGATATTTACGAAAAATCTCTTGTAGTTAAAAGCGCCATTGTTCAAGAAACAAAACAAGTTTTTCAGTCACGTATTACTACCAATGAATAGAACAATTACCACACGCGTTAGCTCATCTTCTTAAATAATTAAAAAGAGCTTAAAATAAAACAAAAAGATTAATTTCATTAAACAATTACGTAATTATTATTACACTTGTAACTCGACAGTGAAATTCTGACTCATAATTAGAAGAATATAAGTTTTAATTTGAAATAATTGAAAATTTTTTTTAAGTTTGACAAATAATTTTGTGATCAATCAACAATAATATTAAACTCAACATAGTAAATATAGCAAATAGCACATTTTACAAAGAATTCTATAGTGTGAATTCATATTACTTTTATGAATAGTGTTTGAAAACCCACACTAAACCTTAACAATTACAGAATTAATTTAAGATGATAAGAACTAAATAAATTGCAATTAAAAGCAATTTTAAAATTAGTTTTCAATGACTGTATTGGACGTTTTATAAAACTTATAGAAAATGTGTCACAACAATTAAATAAAACTAATTAAATCAAATATTTGCTTATTTTCGACTATTTTAATGGTACTACCTTACCATTTTTCCGAATACGAAAATTTTATGAAAATCGAATTACATAGTAAGGTCCCAGGAGATTTCAAAGTTCCTCTTGAAGAAACAAACTGAAAAGAGCGCTAAAACTACTCAAGATTCAGCGTCAAAATTTTCAAATTGTGATACTGGAAAATTGTAATTTTCTAAAGATCTAATTGCAAATTTTCACATAATTTCAAAAATTAAATTTTTAATTTCAATTAACTTTATTACATTCATAAATAAAATTTCATTTTTGATTTCCATTTTCGTTAAAGAACTTAGAAATCTACAAAACTTGACAAAATGGGTGTCCGAAGAACTGGAATAGGACGAGGATATGAGGAAATGGCTGGAATTAATATTCCAACAACACATAATAACACAAGTAATAATTTGTCCCAACAAAATCACGGTCCGATTACACCATTAGGACCAGAGTTTGAATTAGCATCAGTAACTGTAGTTCCAGATGGTAAAAATTAAATTAATAATATGTTTTGAACTTCACTTTTAATTTTACAATTATTTTTACAGATACTTTTACAGTACAGCAAGCTGTTAATGCTTTAGGTTTTGGTTGGTTTCAAGTTAAACTATCATTATGTGTAGGCTTATGCTGGATGGCTGATTCAATGGAAATGACAATTCTTAGTGTTTTAGGTCCAGCTTTATATTGTGAATGGGGAATTAGCCGATATAAAAGAGCCTTAATTACGACAGTAGTATTTTTAGGAATGATGTTAAGTTCAACATTTTGGACACAACTGTCTGATCGATATGGTCGAAAATTTGTAAGATAAATTTTATATGTAGTTATCAAAAATTCTTTGATTAAATAATAATTATGACTTATGTAATTATTTTTTTATATAGGCAATAACATTATGTGGAATTTTATTATTTCTTTATGGACTCTTAAGTGCTGTTTCACCTAGTTTTAATTGGTTATTACTACTAAGAGGATTAGTTGGATTTGCTATTGGATGTGTTCCACAATCGTAAGTTACTAAATTCCAGAAACACTTTCATATTTTGTAAATCATTTTTCTCTTTATTTAAGAGTTACGTTATATGCAGAATTTCTTCCAACCAAACAAAGAGCAAAGTGTGTGGTTCTTTTAGATGTAAGTTTGTGTTCATTAAACAGTTAGAAATCTGAAACTTTTTATTGTGAATATGTCTAATTTCAGTGCTTTTGGGCTTTGGGAGCATGTTTTGAAGTAGCATTAGCTCTTGCAATTGAACCGACTTGGGGCTGGAGATGGCTTTTAGGTCTGTCAGCTGCACCTTTATTTATATTTGCTGTCATAACTCCGGTACGTTTTATGAATACAAGAGGAAATTGAACATTAAATAACTCAATTTCTTTTGTAGTGGCTTCCAGAATCAGCACGGTATCATGTTTCGAATGGCAACACGGAAAAAGCTTTACAAACTCTTGAAGATGTAAAAAAAATTTAATCATTAAAATTCCAACAATTTGTCTAAAATAACAATTTTATATTTTTAGATTGCAAAAAGTAATAAAAAGCCAATGCTCTTAGGTCGACTCGTAGTAGATGGACCACCAGCAGGACCTAGAGGTAGTGTTAAAGCTTTATTAAGTACTGGTTTAAGAAGAACAACAATACTTTTATGGTTTATTTGGATGTCATGTGCATTTTGTTATTACGGTCTCGTATTAATGTCAACTGAACTTTTAGCACATGATCCATTAGCTAATCCTAACGATCCAGAATTATGTAGACGATTGAAAACAACAGACTATATGGATTTGTTATGGACAACATTAGCTGAATTTCCAGGAATTTTTGCAACAATTGCAATAATTGAACGATTTGGTCGCAAAAGTACTATGGCATTACAATTTTTATTATTCTCTGGTTGCGTTATAATGTTAACATCAACAACTGAGTATGCAATTCAAATTGAATTTAATTAAATATGAAAATAATGAAAATTGTATTTTTTTTTCTCAATTTTAGACGAGCCTATTTAACATTAATAATGTTTATAGCACGTGGTGTTATTGCTGGTCTTTTCCAAGCGGCATATGTTTATACACCAGAAGTATATCCAACTGCATTACGATCAATTGGTGTTGGTGGTTGTTCAGCATTAGCACGTTTAGGTGCAATGGCAACACCTTATGTAGCTCAAGTACTTGTTCAAACATCACTTTGGAGTGCTGTCTCAGTTTATGGTTTATTTTCAGTATGTGCAGCAATTGCTTGCATGTTATTGCCCTATGAAACACAGGGTGTGGAGTAATTATTGTTTGTTTTATTTTTTATTGAATGTTAAATTTTATTATAAGTTTAGAAAATTCGTACTTAGTGTACGTTCTTTTTAATTTATTTAAGGTCAAATCTATAATTTTATTATTGTAAAACATAAAATTTATGTTTTTATTTATATTTAAGGAAAAAGCTGTTCTGTTCTAAATTAAAATTCTGACAATAATTGTAAGGAATCTATTTGTTCAATTAAATTATTTTATAATTGTGCAGGCGAAATTTAATTTAAAATATTGTTCAGTAGCTTTCACATAATTAATTTGGAGGTTAACTACAATAAAATTGTAAGAATTAAAATATTTAAACTTAAGAGTTCATGTAAATTTTCATTTATGTATTTAAAAAGTTGGTTAGTAATAGTTTGTAAGTTTGGTGCTAAGCTCATAATTATATTGTTAATATAATATTTATCTTAAAAAATAATCTATTGCATAAAAACCATAAGATATTATAAGAATTTTTATTTTAAATTTGTATTCTACTTTTAATTTTGAATTTTGTAAACTTAAATTTATAAGTAAAACTTAATAGTTTGGAAAAAAGAAGAATGTTTTTTTTTCAAATATGAAAATTACAATAAATCAGAAACAAAAAATTAAAAATTTGTTAAAACAAAATTCAATTTTAAAATATTTTTGATCTACGGATCAGTTTTCATTCTTTTCTCTAAATGTTTTTCATTCTGTTGAAAATTTTAGGAACAATTTAAATTCTTTCAAAAATTAATTAACAGTGTCGATATTGCAAAGGGAAAGACGTTGTATTACATTTCAATAGAACAGGAGTAAATGAACATATTTTTGACAAATTTTTTTACTGCTCAAACACGATTTCAAATATGTAGAAGAGTTTCCTAAATGCTAAGATTCCAAAATTTTTATGTTTTACTAAAAAAGTGTATTTATAGATAATGAAATTCTATTTATTTAATATATTCAAAATTTTGCTTTTGAGTCATGATATCTTTAGATAATCTAATATCTAATCTGAGTCTTATAATTATAAGACTGCAAAAATAATTTCTTTTTAATTTTAATTTCAAAAGAGAATAGTAAACTTCAAAGTGAAAGTTGTTAGTTAATTTCAATATGGGAATAGCTTAACTAAAAATCAAAAAAGCAATTCACAAATTGTAAAATAAAATTCCCTGTAGAATTGCAATTTTACAAGCGTTCTTTACAAAAAAAAAGCTATAAAATAAAAATTGAAACTACTCGTAAGTTGTTACTTTAACTGAAGAAGTTTTGCAGGAGCAGAAATCAATACAATTATGCTGCGCAAGAATTCAAAATAAATTTTTTGTGGTTTATAACTTAGAAAATATGTAGCATTATTAATATGTAGCGTTAATATGTAATTGTAGCATTATTAAGATGTAGGGCTAATATAAATTGTTTTAAATCGAATTTAAATAAAAATTTTAATATTAAAATTTGTTATTCGCATTTAGAACGTTACTAAAAATATATTTTATATATAAAGTTTGTATTATAAGAATTTATACACACACAATACGTACATACGAGTATGAAATTTTTTAAATTTAATTCAAAATTTAAATTTAATTTCATTCATTGGACCAAATCATTTTTAAAGTAAAATTTTAAATCTTTTTCAAATTACCTAATGAATTTCATTTCAAAACATTACAATATTCCACATAGGTATGATACGAGCAAAATTATTCAACATTTATTGTAAATTTGCATTTAAATTTTAATAATAAAAAAATATTTGAAATATTTTATTATTTTTACACTATTAAGAACATTTTTCATTAATATTATTCCAATATTCTTAACATTCTATATACATATAAAATGTTCTTTCAAAATTAATTTAAATTTTTAAATTCAATTATAATTTTCTTAAAAATTCAAATTTCACACTAATATGATTTGTAAATATATTAAAGGCATGAATTGTTGTTGTATATGAGGAATATTTTTTAACAATTGTAATCATATAATAAGATTATTCAGTTGGTATTTTAGAAAGATTTTTTTTTTATTTTGTTATGTAGGGAAGCTGCACGATTATTGTCATGTGAAACACACAAATTTAAATTTTAATATGGTTTATGGTTTCCCATTCAAAAATATCGAATATTAAAATTGTAAAGTATAATTAAGCGGGTATTCGTTTTTTTAGGTGTATGAAAAGAAACCTCCCTTTTATTCGGAATAAAATACTTTTATAATTGACGAATTTTTCGGTTATTCTTCTTTATTAATTTTTCGTAAATTGTAGTCAGCTAAAAATTGATATGAGCCCCATTGTGACATTATATTACCCTACTTGTAGTACCCATACATAAACTCACTTTGGAATTTCATTCATCATGAAAATACTAAACATACATTTTAATGCTACATATTTAGAATTTTTCTTTTTAAAATGAATCAAACGTTCTACCATCTAATTTCATTTACCAATAATTTACACAATTAAGGAAAAAACTCTAGCCATTAAAAATTGATTATAAACGATTAAATTTTGGTTAAATTTCTCTTGTAACATATGGAATTTTGTCAACTATTTTCAATAGAACTGTAAAAATATTTGTTAATTTGGCTTTACCAACAGAAACATGGAAATTAATAACCCATTCGATACGTTCTTATCGTATAATAGTATATCTCACACATTTACCTTCCAATACGTACCAGAATTACATATTTGAATTTACTTAAAAGTAATAGTCAAAAAAAAAAAAAAACAATTAATATTTACTCAAAATTGTAGGAAAATTTCCAATAATAACAATTTTGCATTAAAATTATATTCAAAAAAAAATTTTCCTCATATTAATGATAATAAAAATATTTTCTTTAGCATCTCCTTATCTTCTTATTCGACAAATAAAAAAAAACACAAAAAACTAAAATTAAATTACCTAGAAAATTTGAATTATTTCCTTAAATTTTTTCCTCCTTTTCTTTTCATTATCTATTCAATTACAATTGATATACTTGTAGAGAAGTAGAAAAAAAAAGTATATGATTTATTTTATAAAATGCTTTTGAATAAAAAGAAAACGAATAATAATATTTGGAATGTTGTAATAAAACAAAATGAATAATATGATTTTATTTTTTCAAAATCATAATTTAAATATTATAAAAAATTCTGTGGTACAAAGTGAAAACCATATTATGTTCAAAATGTGTGTTATTGATAGCATATGGCCTTCTTATCTTATTGTTTAATTTTCAATTGGAATTAATATGCAAAACTTTCTTTAAAATTAAAGGATCAAGTTAAAAATTGTTCTACTGATAAGTAAAAAGAAAGCAATTGTAACGTTTTGCCTTTGACGCCACCGAAATGCTTACCTAGTATGTGGGTACATAATATATCTATATTAATGTGTGTGGACTTGTTCAAATAAAATGGGGAGCACAAATGAGGATTCTTAAAACTTTAAATATATTAAGTATTTTCTTCGAAAAGAAAATATTTTTGAATCAGTAACAATCAGTACAATTTTAATGGTTTCAATATTAAACTAAGAAATCTATCACAAAATATATATATATTATATTTTTTTTATATTATATTTACTTGAAATTACAACGAACCTTTAAAATAAGTGTAGATATAATATGTGAATTATTATAATAAATATTTTTTTAATTTTATTCAAATTCTTAGCTATTTCAAATTTGATCAAATATTTTAAAGATATTTTTGTTTTTTAATTTACCATTGAATAAATAGCTATTTATGTGTATAAATTTTCTTATCAAATTTTAAAATTTACCTAATAACCATCAACTATTGCATACATTTAGGATGATGTAAAATTAAAAGTGAAAAAATCATTAAAATAATACTCCAATTTAAGGCTTAATTGTATGAGCTAAGAAAAAAAATTTGTATTTTTCAATGGAATGGTGTGGAATGAATAGAAATTTGGAAAAACTTACACTTCTGAAATATAGTAATATGGTGCCGAAAATTCAAATATTCCAAATTTCAAGAGGCGTCGGGAAATTGTACTAATAAATACCAATTACAAAATTTAATCATAAGAACTTTAGAAAAACCCAAGTCAATTTTGTTATAAATTTATGTTTAAAAATGGCACAAACCTTGTATATAGTACAGTAAATTGTTTTTTTTTAAAGTCGTACCTCTACTATCTTGAAGAGTAACTACTCTGTATTATATTTTTCATAAATTAGCAATTAAATTCATAAATACCATCAGAATAGCATATAAATCAAGTGATGTAAGCTCGAAAGTAAGCCTATGCTGCAATTAAATCATGTTAAGCGTTCATAATATCAAATGTATTTAAATTAGATATTAAAATGATCCCAAAGTATTTTGCATTCAGGATTTTTGTATTCATATTGTATACAATTTTCACATTGTCATTACAAACTTTAATTCGATGTTGAATTAAATAAATTATAACTTAAATAGAATTTCATATTCTTATACCAAACATTAATTTTCAATAAATTTATAATTTTAGCCCTAAAAAATTTTCCACATGAACATTTTAATTCATATATTATATGCAATATGTAATGTGTGTAATGTTACACATATTGTGTCAATAAATTTCTATCAACATTTCAAAATCTATTTACTAAAGTAGCACAAACTATTACACGAAATATATATTGAAAATTACGAATTATAAGTATAACATATTTTTCATGAATTAAGAGAAATTTACTAAACTGAAATTATACACACAATAATTTTTCAGTCCCATTAAAATAAAAGATCGTAAATATCTTTTTTAAATTTTGGAAATCAGTATTGACGTTTTCATTTATTACACGTTCTATTTTTACTAAATTGTAGATATTATACATTTTTTGTTCAAATTTTCAAATTAATTTAAAAATTCGATGTTGTATGGTAGTTTTAAATTAAAAAATTACAGTAGAATTTTAATATTAATAATAAATTAATGAGAATTTAAAATTAATTAACTTTTAAGAAATATAAAACGGAAATTTACTAGTATTATGCCAGTAGCCGTGACACAAGAAAATCTTGTTTATTAATATTTTAATAGTTTGTAATACAAAATTATTTTAGTCGCCCTTTGACAAATTCGTATTTATTCATGTAGGAATATTCAAAATACAAATTTTTTAAAGTTGGGTTTAATAATTGTTAACTGAACTATTTCCTTCTTATCCGCCTAACTAGTAAATACACAATAAGTAAAGGTTAAAGAAAATATCTGTTCATACAAAATTTGGATAGCAAGGGTACAATTTTTAAATGGAATCGCGACTAAATAATATTTTTAAGATAAAAATTTTAAATTATAATAATGGTGTAATAAAGCAGAAATGTAATTAACAGTAATGTGATAGTAATGGGCATATTTTTTAAAATCTGATACTAAAACGAAATAAAAGTCAAACTTCCCATGCCTACTTAATATTGCAT